CCCCCCGCCCAAGCCGGCTCCGCACCATCAGCACAGCCCCACGCGGGGCTCCAACCCACGACCAGGAGATCACGACCTGAGCCGAAATCGGGAGTCGGGCGCTCGACCCACTGAGCCACCCGGGCGCCCCTTCTGTTGTTTTATTGCAAGAATACAGTTTATAATATACAGAAGATGTATTCGTCGACTGCTCGTGTTCTCGGAAAGGCTTCTGGTCTATGGGAGTACATCACTCGCAAGCTGGCGGGGTGGGGGGTGGGGGAGATCAGAAGTTACACGCGGGTTTCGATTCCACAGCCCCACACCGTTGAAGGGCCAACGGCTCGCGACTTTATAAGGGGTTAAGCAGCCTTCACTGCAACGCTTAGGCACTCTCCTGGGGGTAACAGGGAAGAGGTTAAGGAGTCTTCCTTCCCACCTTCCGCCTCCACGGCCTTGACTCCCCCACCGCAGGAAACAAAACGCCTGTCCATTTGGTTACTGGGACCCAAAACTGAGGAACCACCTGCCATCTTTTTTTTTTTTTTTTTTAATTTTTATTTATTTTTCAGAGAGAGACAGAGAGAGAGATTGCGAGCACCAGCAGGGAAGGGGCAGAGAGGGAGGGAGACACAGAATCCCAAGCAGGCTCCAGGCTCCGAGCTGTCAGCACAGAGCCCCATGCGGGGCTTGAACCCACGGACCACCACGAGATCATGACCTGAGCCCAAGTCCAACACTCAACCGCCTGAGCCGCCAGGCGCCCCTGTGGTATATCTTTTCATACGCTATTTGCCACTTGTACATCCTCTTTGCTGAGGTGTCTCTTTGGGTCTTTTGTCCAATTTTTTAAACTGCTTGTTCTTTTTATTTATTTTTTTTATTACTATTGTTGAGTTTTAAGGGATCTTTGTATATTTGGGGGAACAGTCCTTTATCAGATGTGTCTTTTCCAAGTATTTTCTCCGAGTCTGTGGCTTACCTACCTTCTCCCTCCCTTGACAGTATCTCTTGCAGAGCAGAAGTTGTTAATATTGATGAAGTCCAGCTTATCAATGATCCCTTTATGAATCATGCTTGAAACTTAGTTCTACCTTTGAACGTTTGGATCACCTGAACCAACAAATTCCCCTTTTGTTTCAGCAGAGGTGGGTTTTCTGTTATTTCACGTACATTTCTTTAAAACGGACTCTGGGCACAGCAGGCGATAAGCAGTTGACATCCTGACTACTGTTTAATGTAATTTTTGGAATTTATATATATTTTTTCGCTTTAAAAGGATTTCCTTTCTGCAACTTACATTCAGTTTCATAACTACATTGATCAAAATTATTTACAGTCACGTCAAGACTTCCCCATTTTGGAGTTTCTCTTTGACTACATCTCTTGGTGACTTAAAATGCTTTCTTAAAAAAAAAAAAGGAGAAGAAAGAGACACAGTGGAATTTCAAACCCAAGCCTTCTCAGAAATGCAATTCTACTGCCCTTCATACACAGAAAGTACCTTGGATATTTATACAATTAAGTCATAGTTTTTGTGGGGTTTTTTTTTTGTTTGTTTGTTTTGTTTTTCGCTCTCAGAACTGTAGATGTTGTTCCTCTGTCTTCCAGTATTTAGTAACGCAGAGAAATCTCTAGCCAGATCACTTTTGTTTCTTTCTAGGTGACCTTTAATTCTGCCTACACGTACCCTTCAATGACATGGCTCTTCGAGATGAATCTAGATTAGTTTTTTTTTTTTTTTTTTTTTTTTAGTGTAATGTTTATTTTATTTTTAAGAGAGAGAGAGATGGGGGCGCCTGAGTGGCTCAGTTGGTTAAGTGTCCGACGTCAGCTCAGGTCACGATCTCACGATCTCATGGTTCGTGGGTTCGAGTCCCACGTCAGGTTCTGTGCTGACAGCTCAGAGCCTGGAACCTGCTTCAGATTCTGTGTCTCCTTCTCTCTCTGCCCCTCCCCTGCTCGTTCTCTGTCTCTCTCTCAAAAAATAAAATAAAAACATTAAAAAAAGTTTAAAAGAGAGAGAGTGCGCGCCATTGGGGGAGAGGCAGAGAGACAGAATCCCAAGCAGGCTCTGCGCTGTCAGCACTGAACCTGACATGGGGCTCAAACCCACGAACCGTGAGATCATGACCTGAGTCGGGCGCTTAAGGGACTGAGCCACCCAGGCGCCCCCTCAGTTTGCTTTTCACATTTTCCCCAGGACCGCCATGTGCCTTTCCAGAAGCTGACCCAAGTGGATCTGCGCCCAAGGCAGCCTCCTCCCGGCACAGGCTGTGAACGGTGGGTCACGGCCACCAGCTCCACAGGGTCTCCGGGAACAGTTTGCTCAGCCAGCGTCTCCGTCCCATCAGCGTCCCTTCTGCTGCTTTAACTGCTGCTGTCTCTCTGAGTAGAGTGTTTTCTGGAGCGTGTCCCCCGCACGCCTCATCCACATGGGCCCAGTTACCGTCCAGCTCTCCAGCGGGTCTGGGCTTGGATTCTCTGGGCGCATTTGGCGGTTCCGTGCCATTCTCCCTTTCTCCCCCAAATACGTGGGGGCGCCCTCTCATCGCGGCCCTTTCTTTCTCGGTACTCTGCTCCCGCTTCCCAGAGAGAGTCCTGGCGAAAACCTTCCTGAAAATCCCATTCAAACCCTAAAGTAAATATTTCTCCAGCGTTCTCCTTTTAGTCTCCAGGATGATGACCCCTTCGCTTGTTTTGCAGAACTTTTTTCAGAATCCCTTTGGTTTTTTTAAAAAATTTGTTTGTTTTCGGTATTCTCCACACCCAACGCGGGGCTTGAACTCACAGCCCCGAGATCAAGTCACGTCCGTGCTCTTCCAGCTGAGCCAGCCAGGCGCCCCATCCCTATGATATTTTTGCCACTATTTTAGACACAC